CAGTCCCGGGCGTAGGCGGCGAAGGTGTCACAGACGGCGGGGGGTGGCGGGGGTCCCGTGTCCCCCCCCACGCACAGCAGGTCCAGGCATGCCGTGTAATAGCCAGCGGGATCCACCTGGATGGGATGGAGATGGGATGGGATGGAGATGGGGAAGAGATGAGGAACAGATGGGATGGGATGGAGATGGAGATGGAATGGGGATGGAGAGGGGAAGGGATGGGGAATGGGGAAGGGATGGAGATGGGATGGGGAAAAGATGAGGAACAGGTGGGATGGGATGGAGATGGGGATGGAATGGGGAAGGGATGGGATGGGGATGTATTAACCCCCAGTACCCCCCGGTACCCCCCTGGGCCCCCGCTCACCTCGTCGTGGCACTCACGGAAGGGCTCGGTCAACAGCTTCCCGCAGACAGCCTCGGCCGCCCGCCGTGCCATGTCCCCTGCCGCGCAGCCGGGACCCAGCTCCACCGCGTCCCTGCAGGGGGGCTGAGCCGGGGGGGGCACCCTCAGAGTTGGGGTTGTCCCCCCAGGGACCCTCAGCCAGACACGGGGGTCGGCAGCCCCAGTCTCCCCAGTGCCCAGCTCTACCCCGGTACCTCCGAGTCGGCGCCTGGGATCTTCCAGGAGTTGCCAAAGCTGGTGGCAAAAGGGGCCACGTCCCCCCCAGGCTGCAAGAAGTCATCTGGGGGCACAGGGGGGGCTCGGGCAGATGGGGGGGACGTGGCATGTGGTCCCAGCAACGTGTGTCCCCCCGCTCCCCCAGCACGGGGACGGCAGGGACATCGCCAATGAGGTGGCACTTACCAGTAGGGTCGTCGTTGTAGGGGCCGCAGAGCCCCCTCGTGCCGCCCCACAGCTCAGCCTCGACCGTCACGGTGACCGCCTGGTGCCCATCCGAGGCCACCCGCACGCCCAGCCCGCTGGCCACGGCCACCCAGTCACCCAGCCAGGTGACACCGATCCCTGCCAGCAGCACAGCAGGCGGCTCGGCATGGCATGGAGGTGGGATGGAGATTGGGATGGGATGGGATGGGGATGGGGATGGGGATGGGGATGGGGATGGGATGGGATGGGATGGGGATGGGGATGGGGACCCAAGACCCCAGGATCGGCGGCATCGGGGGACAGAGCATCCCACCGCCCTCACCGCTGTGCAGGTAGGGCTGTCCCTCGGGCACCACCACGCTGTTCACGGAGATGTTTCGGCCCCGGGCCACCACCGTGTCCATGCCAAAGGTCATGTGCAGCACCTGGGGGGGCACAGCATCAGCCAGGGTGGGGGCCAGCTGCCCGCGGTGTGTGCCAGGGCCACCAAGGGGCCACCAAGACCCCACCGGCTGCTGGCACCCATGGATGGGGTCACCATGGGGACACCATGGCCTCTCCAGGGTCCACCATGGGCTGTGACGTGCCGTGGGGACAGACCGATGGCCCCTGTGCCCCCGGAGACACCGTCCATGGGGAAAGCAAAGACCCCGGTTGGGCTCCCCCTCCTCCCTGACACAACCCCTTCCCCTCGGTGGGGGCTGCAGGTACCCGGGGGTGGCCGGCGGCGATGGAGATGTCCCAGGTGCCGTCGGTGGCGGTGGCCAGGCTGTAGGTGCAGCGGCCGGAGAAGTGGAAGTGCCTCCCGTCAAAGGTGCGGTAGCGGGATCCTGCCCAGGAGAGACACTCGGCCGAGGGACCCTGGTGCCGGGCGGCTGTGGCCAGCAGTGGCCACGGGGACAACTCTCCTGCGGCAAAGAGGTGATGCCGGTAACACCCCCCCTCTTAGGGAAACCCACCCCCCCAGGACCCCCAGACCCACCGTGGAGGGGCAGGCGGGTGCAGGGGAGGCAGGAGGCGGTGGAGCCGTTCCTCCAGCTGTGTCCCCAGGGGTGCCGGCAGCACTCGGCCAGGCTCATGGCAGAGAGGTTTTGGTTGCCGGTGGCCTCCTGGCACCGCCACGTGCCGTAGCAGCGTCCCAGCGCGGCGTCACCTGCGCCACAGGGATGTGCCTTGTGTCTCTGCACCAGGCAACCGGGTGGAGGGGACGGTGGTGGCCACGGTGGCCAACCCTTACCTTCAGTGCAGTGGGGTCCGCTCCAGCCCGGGCAGCAGCCACGCACCGTACGGTTCCTCACCACCGGCCGCATCTCCGGGGGTCTGTGGGGGGCACGGGGATGCCCCCCGGCATCAGCCATCATGTCCCCCCACACCCCCCTCATGGTGTGTGTGTATCCCCAAAACCATTGCTCACCGGTAGATGTAGCAGAGCTGGGTGGGGGAGCCGGGTTGTTGGGGGTCTGGGCGGTGGGGCTGGCCGCCGTGGGGCTGGCCACCGTGGGTCTGGCTCGTGCGGTGCCGGTCGAGGTGCCAACCAGCCAGGCTGTAGTGGTAGAGGCTGGCGCAGGGCACCACGTCCTCCTGCCGCGGCATCACCTCCTCCTCCGTCGTCACCGTCACCGTCCGCTGGCACCACCGCCTGCCGCGGTGACACCCCGTCACCCACCCCCAAAATCGGGCTGGGGGTGGCATTTCCCCCCCCACACACACACACACCTTCTTCCATCCTGGGCACTTACCCCGTGGCTGCTTCTACTGTGGCCACCCAGAGAAGCAGAGTGGCCAGGATGCCACTGGGCACCCAGGAACGCGGTGGTGGGACCATGACGTGCCACACCGGCCACCTTGGCAGAAGAAGACCTTCATTACCCACCACCATGGCGTCCCCCCGGCCACGGGGACGCCCAGCAAGTGCCACCCCATCATCATGATGGGGACATGGGGACATCTCCAGAACCTCTTACCCCCGCTCCATCCCGCCTGGCTCCATCCCTTCCAACGCCCCCCCCGGGCCCCCTCCCAGCCCACGGTGGGTTTTATGGGGCAGGAGAAGCCGTCGGGGGGCCATCTGTGGGGCTGGTGATTGGGCCCAGCTGGCGGTTGAGGGGGGGATGCACCGTGGGGACCCCCCCATGGCCCCGTCTCCAGGGTAAAGCCCTCAGGATTGTGCTGGGGGGGTGGATTTGGAGCCTCCCCACACACACACACCCCCAAAGCGGCTCTGCCCAG